AATCCATATGTGTCAATGGAGCAATAAGAAAAAGATTTAAATATACTATATATATATATATCATATATCCACACACAAATTACATACTGGACGTGCTGCTCTTTATCTGCCCAACATGTTCAAACAATTTGCTTCAAACATATGTCTAAAATTTTGTTAAAAGCCCATGTCCCCCGATACCACGTCGTCCGAGGGGAACTGGCTGTTTAGACAGCTATGTTTGGTTAGTTCGACCAGATTCTGGGAAGTCAACGAAAAATTGTTGTAAAAGGTGCCAGATACAAGAAGCTAGTAGTAACAAGTGCCACGCTAGTAGTAACAGGTGCCTTACTAGTAGTAACAAGAAGCTAGTAGTAACAAGGTGCCAGATACAAGTCTGACTGTCCTGACTGTAAGCAGACAGTCCGGCTCCAGGAGTTACAAGTTACAGCGCAGAAAACCGAAGCTGTATCGGCCGGTATCTAGGCTCAACTGCTTGCATGATCTTGAGGTTTCATAATGAAATCCTACGAGTCAGTCAGAGCATGGCCAAAAAGGAAAGTGAATCTATTTCAGTGTGCGTCAAGCATTTCAGTGTGTGTTTTGTGAGTCCAAGGGCTACCCAAAACAGCTTCAGTTGAGGACTTTAGAAACAGCCTGCCCATCTGGGCGTTTCTGGCAGGTCGGCCACACCTCAAGACATGTTTTCTATGGATATGCTCATGTCCGCAGAAGGATCTCCAACTCAAATCCTGTGCTCAATCCATGTTGGGGTGCAGAACAAACCGCCATGTGTCTCTTCGCTCAACCACCAAAGCGGGGCTAAAAATCTGAGAATAACCTCTCGCCACCGTCCGATATTGGGATCCCCCGCGTTGGTCGACTGATGCAGGGCCACATGAGCCTGGAGAGCCGCCGCGGTTTCTCCTCGTTTTCCTTGGTTTTTTTGGAACCCGTTGGTCGACTGGAGTGGACCAACTCCATTGTGAGACTGTCGTTTCGTCTCAGTCTTCACCTGCAGGTCTCGCTGCCCTCGCTGGGCCGATTTCTCGGTCGCGTAGACCGAGACTCGCTGACCTCACTCCATAGCTCAGCCAAAACTGGTCGAGCTCGGAGGGTGTGGAGCGCAGCTGTAGATTCAGGCCAGGGCGATAGTCCACATTCTGTTGATCTCTGTTTGTTGTAGAACTTGTAGGCATGAATTACAGGCCTTACCTTTGTACGGTCGGGGCGTGGAAAATAGACGGTCGGCCAGCTCTTCTCGTCGTGGGCAGGACCGGATGAGCCCTCTACCAGTCAGTGTGTGTCACATGTGTCACCACCTCACTGACCCAAGACCTGTCTCCGAGACCCGGCTCTTCTCCACTCCTCCGCAACGTGAACGTTCACCGGAGAACCCGGTGAACGACCTCCCGGTTCGACGGACCCGGTACGGAACGCCGGCCTTGCCCAAAGCCAAGAGAGCTTTGACCTGTCCGAGATGCGGCATGACGCATACCCTGCCCTGGACCGAGCAACAAGGAAAAGAAAAAGAACATTAACACCCTACTTTGTCAGATTCTGATGGGTGCAAGAATAGCCCCATTCAAAAGAAAGGGTCTCTTGTTCTCATCTACAGACGAAGTCTTACAACTCTTTGGTTTTAAAAACTTGTTACTAGATACGATGCACTTGTTACTAGTTGCGTCCTTGTTACTACATAGTAAGGCACTTGTTTCTAGTAGCGTGGCACCTGTTACTAGCTTCTAGGCCTCCATCTGTGCAAGAAGCACCGGGCCCCAAGGACCGAAGAACCGAATCGGAGGTGGACACCTCTGAAGGAGCGGTGACCAGGCGCCCCGAAGTCTGGACATGCCCGAAGTGTCTGAGAGAATCCTGTTCCCATGCGAACAGAAATACACCTGAAAGGGATCGTATCATCACATCTGACATCATCTGACTCTTTGCAGGGTTTGTGCCGAACATAGGAGAAGTTGTTCTCTGTGTTCAGCAAACCCACAGCAGCATGTGGGTTCAAGGGATCAACTGAACGATTCTCATCGACTTGCAAAGGACCAAGCTTGGGAGTCCCAGCCAGCTCCAGTCCAAGAAGGTTGCTCCCCCCAAAAGTGAACCTCACTACAAAATGGAAGACATTCGGAAACCGCTTGTTTTTTTCCTTGGCTCTCTTGAGGACCATCACTTCCTTTCTCGGACAGCACCACATCTCCACTTCCTCCACATCTCCAGCCTCCTCCGCGACATGCAGTGGCACCTGGGTCTTTCCGCTTCCCGTGGCGCCACCGATCAACCGGCAGGGAGTCAGCTGAAAGACCGGTGGGAGTCAGCTGAGCCGGTGCAACTCATGGGTGTTTCCTGTCGACTTTTCCCACCAGCTCAGGGAGTCGCGTGTTTGGTCCAGTATCGACAGCAACGAATAGACTGGGAATGAGGGCGGCGGTCAGCCCCCTAAAGGCCGGGCGACTGATGCATGCGCAAAACTCGCATCTGTCAGAAATCCGTTGAAAATTTGTGCGAGTCAATCGTGTTCCGAATTCTGGGCGGTACGATAGTTATTCCCTCAAAACCCTTGGGACAATGCAGCCATCTTGTCCGATGTAGGTAGTGCAGTTGTTCAATTCAATTCTCAATGTCAATCATGTGATATCATGTGTATAGCTTGGAGGGGGTAGGCTTGGAGCATCCAAGACGTATATATATGCTAGGATGCAGGCTTTGTTCTGTCAGCAAAGTACGCTCAGATCGCTCGGCTTGCTGGCTGCACTCGAAAGTACTCGTATTCGTCAAGAATTGTAGAGGCGAAAAAGCTTCCTTGATTTGAATGTGCCGAAACAAAGGGATGTAAGCACAGTACCTCATGTTTGATGCCCTTTTGCCGGTAGTGGAATCCTGAATCGTATGTCAAACCAAATGACTTTCCTCGAGGACAACCGCTTGTGGTTACCTTGACTACATGGTCATGTCATGTTCTGTCTTTTTTTGGACCTCTACGGTGAAAACTGAAGCATGCTCAAAAGGGGTCTGCTTCGGGTATGTTTCGGGTATGAATGGCCCGCAATTCCACCCTTCATGTGACTCAGGGCAGATGCTGCAAACTCAAAAAAATCGAAAGAAAAGAAAAGAAACGACATGACGTGATATGATTCTGATGATATACCTGGATCTTCCAACTGTGCAGAATTTCTGCATGTTCATCAATTAAATCAACCAAAAGGCATAAATGTTGCACAGTTGGAAGATCTTGGCCACCACTGACCTGCAGCTTTTCACCACTTGGACTCCCCGACCTCGCGGCCTGCAAGCGAGGTCGGGTTCACGCGACGAGAATGACAGAACGGCCGCGTTTGGTTTGGTCCACTTCCCCAGTAAGAGGTCATGGTTTTCCAGCAGAAGCATGGTTTGCACTGATCAGAAGCTTGTCATGGTTTGTCTCCGGATTTGGGGATGTAAAGCAAAAAATATGAGGAGGCCAACCGCAGAACATCACTTTCATCGTGAACAAAGTGTAGCTTCGCTTTTGGATGTGTCCTTCTTCGAAGAAGCAAAGCCAAGAAGAAATCAAACCTCACACCGTGGCCAGTGGATGTCTACTTCAGGGCTCAATCACTTTTCCAACTCGACCTCGAGTGGGTATTCAAAGGGAAGAAGCAAGAAGCAGAAGCTTCCGAAAGAAAACGTGCGTCCCCACCATCGGCCTCAGAGGAAGAAGAGTCCAGAGGGACCGTCGAAAAATGCCGGTCTTTCGATGAGCACCAAATCCTTTGGAAGTAGTAACAAGTGCATGGCTAGTAGTAACAAGTGCCACGCTAGTAGTAACAAGTGCCTTACTAGTAGTAACAAGAAGCGAACGTAGAAACAATAAGTGGATTCAGAAGATGTCGACGTGCCGCAGGGGACAACTCAAACCCATCAGGTACGGCCCAGTCGCCCGAACGCCCTCGATGGTTGAATTCACCGAAGGTTTTTCGCTGATCACCAAGTGCTCGGTGAAACTGTGACAAGGTCACACAACATCATATACTGTATAATATAACATAATATACTATAATATGTATGTGTATATTTAGTTATCTATCTATCTATCTATTTATTCATTGTTTATATTACATATATATTCATTACAGTACATATCCAAACCTTCTCCAAACGATGTCCAAATCACCAGACCCCTCTTGGAGAAACCGACCTCTACCCTACCCTGTGGTGGTGACCCCCCCTGCGAGCGAAACCGACCACTATCCCCGGGTCTCCTTTTTTTTCCGGGCCTCTGCTCACCGGTAGGTTCATAAACGAGGTCTGCAGTGGCATGAAGGCTCATGGTTTAAACGGTAGGTTCGCGCTCAAATGTTGCGTTCCGGGGCTGAAGGGTGAAGACTGCTATCCTGTCATATGCACGGAACGGAGTCTAGTCGCTGTTGTTGAGTTTTGACCACCCTGTGCTGTGTGGTTTGTGGGTGGTTTGGTGGGGCACCCGTTGGTGATGGCGGGTTAACGGTAGCTGCCAGGTCTTACTTCTCACTGACCGTCGACCTCATTGTTGGCAGTCTCATTCATCCTGGGTGTCCCCATGACAGGAGTGGAGCAAATGGTGAACCAACATGTTTTGACAAATGGGGGGCACCCAAGATAATGCAAGAGCAGTGCCATGAACTATACAGCCCACGGTGAGAAATGCAGCCTTGCTGTACAATGTCAGTTCGCTCTGCTTTCAGAAACGTTCAGCTTAGTCCAGGTCCGTTTGCAGTCAACCCTGTTTGAGGACTCTTGCCTCAGTCTTCCCAAGTGGTTTTTGTACGTTTTTCGATGCCTCGGTCAATCCCTCTTGGCGTCCGTGGTCAATACCTTCGATTGACCAGGCCTGGCTTGGAAGCCCGTTTGGAAAGAGCGTAACTTAGGGCCGTTCGGTGGTCTACCAAAGCTGGAAACATACAGCAACCCTGAAAATAGATCTCTTGCATGACCAGTTGTCAACGTAGACATGGAAAATGGACGGTTTCAAGAGCATGTTTCTTACTCAAGGGAGCAATGTTTTCATTTCGTGGAGCCAAAAGCAGAGCACCATGCGCCATCGTTTGAAGGGGCCATTGGGTTGTTCCTGACCGCAATGGACTAGCCATTGACAGTATAGTCCGCCACGTCGGCCAATCAGACGGGCAGCTGGCAACGCAAATTTCTATCAAAGGGCATTGAAATCTCCTAGATCGACATGATGTTCACAGAGAAATCGCAAAAAAAGTAAAAAGAGGAATAACCAAGTCTTGACTGATGGATGATGGGACGTTGATGGCCCACCTCTATACCCATGCCACAGCAGCATGTACAGCCCTGATATTAAATGTGCCACTCACATTGGATGCTTTGACTTGGAATGTTTGTCAAAAAGTTCGGTTGGTTCCCTCTCAACGTTCTCAGCGTTACCAGCTACCAGGTCAGAAACAAACCACTTCCCACAAAAGATATTTGCCACACTCTTGGTGGCAGGCCGGATCTCACCATGGTATTTCGGCCGCATCAGCATGCAGAGGCCGCATTCTTCACCCCGGCAAACCAAAACAAAATCGTTTGTCGGGCATGGTCAGGCAGCTGTGCACTCTCTGTGGCTGATGCGAATTGGGCGGAAAGGCGTTGGAAGTGGTAAAGAACGGTGGTGCAGCTAGACAACCATGGGCTGCGACTCCGGCAAGACCTCGGCCGGAAGGCGTTGGACAAACCAGCTCACCCCGGTTTACTTTCCCAGGTGTGTGTGTGTGTGCGTGCCCCTTGTAGTCACAGGGATCCCTTCGGATTGTGTTTTCTTCTTTCAGCAAAGATTTTTCAGCAGGGGGACATGGCGTGCGTTCAGGGACCATGTCCAACGAAGCTACCTGACGCACGGGATATGAGAGCTGATCACTCTCACGTACCTGCATTTTCCACTGCCTTTCAACTTTTAAGCCTTCCGTTACTCACTCTGCAGATGTGCACGGTACGTCGTCACCCTGTCGCCCCGCTTCCGGCTTACGCTTTGGGCCACGTTTCCATTTGAAGACCTCCAGGATCCAGGGATTCGTACATGTACTCTTAGGAAATGGTACCCTAGGCCGGCGTGTGGCACTGCTATCAGTTCCGTACGCATGTCCATAAGTGTGTTTGGCCTCGTGCCAACCCGGGATGAGCCCGTAGAGTGCCTCCCGTGATTGGGACGCCAACTCACTCCACGGGCATCAACTCCACCGCACAATACAACCCACCCAGTGCTCTCGCCGTGTCGGCATCGCTGGCCTTCCCGTGTTCGACGTATACCCATGGCTTCTAGCCTACCACGGAACGGCAGACTACACGGCCCGCACTCTCAGCCACGGCAAATATTGCGGGCTCATCCCCAAGGAATGGGACTGTGAGTGGGATGTTGGGTCGTGGTGGTGTCTGGTTTCGGTCTTGGAGTGCTTGATGGATGATGTGGAGGGAACGACTCCTGCCAGGTTCTTCGAGGTTGGCTGCCATGCGTCGAATGGCGTAGACTTCCAGGTCAGTATGGTGGCCGCTGCGTAGTTGTTTTGCAGCTTCAAAAAGAGGCGGATGTATGCTTGGTAAGATCGCGGAGGAGAGTCAAGGCATGGTGCTTGGTGGAGGTAAAGAGGTGTGGTTCCCGAAGGGTGTGTTGTCGTCTACGTAGTCGGCGAAAGAGGCGTTTGTGAGTGGCCAAGCGTGAGTAGAAGTGATCAATATTTGGTAAATTGCCAGCCTTGGGCTTTCAGTTTGAGGTGGTGTGAAATGAACGGCCAGTTGAGGGGGGCCATCCAATTGGAGATGTGGTTGTGTTCGTGGATCCATGCCTGGTCGTATGCGTCATGAGAAGACAGTTGGATGGTGGTGTAGTGGTGGATGTTGTTGTGTGCATGCCAATAGCGTTCGGCTGAGACTGGAATGTTGTTTTGGAGTTGCTTGAGCTTGGCACGGCGGTTGTGCTCGCGGTGGGGGATGCCAATGCCAGTGGAGCCGATGTAGAAGTGGCCATGTTGGTGATAGCAGCGGTGGGGTGCTTGAATACTGCAGTTTGACGTAGACTGAGTTGGAAGAAAGGAAGTTGTGGAAGTGGTAAGTGTGGGGGAGGATGTGGAGTTGGCGGAAGCGCTTCTGCCATTGTTGAGAGCGGTGAGTGGAGGAAGGGTAGGCGAAGAGGAGTGTGAGATGTATGAGACCGGTGGCGAAAAGGGCGTCAGCATGTTCGATGTATTGAGATTGGCGGATGAGGGTGGAAAGGGCCCGGCGCAGGTGGAAAAGATGTTGCATGTGGGTATGGTTGGGCGACTGCTGGGGCGAGGGCCACTCCAATGCTGACAAGGTTTTGGAGGGACTTGATGGTCGCACGGTTGAGCTTGGCGAGTGGCAGGCCGTAGCGAGCGGCAGCTTCCTTGAGCTGCTCGGTCGTGACCTTACTGGTCTGCAAGATGCGAACGACCTCTTTCGCGGACTCCTGGATTTCCATGTCAAATGTGGAGACCCAAGTCTGGGTGGCTGCGGTGCCCGGCACGTCATCTTGTGCAGCTGTGGAGCGGCGAGTGGCTTCTTTTCATGGTGTGAGGTGGAGGCCGTGGGCTTGGAGCCTGGCCTGGGCTCGTTCCAAATCGTCGGTGGTGGCTTTGAGGGCTCGTAGTGCGGAACTCCACCCAGACACGCCCACCACAAATGGTCACTACATTCTCACCCTCGATCAACATAACTTGCCACCACATCTCCGCGTTTTCCTAGATGCCAACATGAACAGCACTTTCTACCCGACCAAGGCTCGCTACTTTCTCACTTTTCAAGCAGCGTTCCACAAGTGGCTCAAACTTCAGGGCCTCCCAGTCTCCTTGACCCAGCACTTGGATCCTCTCTCCTACAACATCAATGGCATCTCCACATCGCCCACCTCAAACACCATCCACACTTCACAGCCGTCTCTTACGGCAACTCCAAGCCGACCTCTGCGATCGAGTCGTACTTCACCATGCAGATCACGAACTACAACAACTTCGTGTTTTCTGCCCACAACAAAACTTCACCGCAGCTCTCAACACACGGCAAGCTCCAGAACTTTTCGAACCACTACCCCATCTCACTCCCACCAATACCCACGCACATCTTGCAGCTACAATCCCCTCCAGCCTCCGCTCCAAATACAAATGGGGATTTCGTAAAGACTTCACCATTCCATATGGCATCGTCCATCTCAAAGCCAAGAAAAAATTTGGCAGAAGGGCTGTACCATCATCTCCTACTACCAATCCATGGCTGGCAACCTCCTCCGCGTCACCAGTCGAGCGCTCGACATCATTCTCCAACACCTCTTCCCACAGCAACTCTCCATCCCGCAACTTTGGCGCCATTTCCATTCCTACCTCTTCCAAACACCAGCAGACATCACCCTACATGCCACCAACGACGACTTGGTCGGTTTCTTCAACTCAGTCCCCCAACAACGCTTGATCGACGCCGTCCATGCCCTGATCCTGGAATGGCAAAGCCAGCAGTCGACCCACACCCTCACAGTCGACACCAAAGCCACCGGCAACCCTTTTCACCACTCCCACATTGGCAGACATCACACTCGGCACCCTACTGTCAACTCTGTGGCTGGGCCTTGTCCTCCTCTTGTCCTCCTCTTGGCCGCGCCCCTGAACTCTGTCAACTCTGTGGCTGGGCTCTGTGGCTGGGCCTTGTCCTCCTCTTGTCCCAGGCCCTGTCCTCCTCTTGTCCTCCTCTTGTCCTCTTGGCGCGCCGGGCGCGCGCTCGTGTGCTATGGACGGCGCGCTCGCTCTGCAGAGAGAAAGACAGAGAAAGAGAAACTTAAAGAGAAAGGGACAGAGAGAGAGAGAGAGAGAGAGCGAGAGAAGGAAAGAGAGCAGGGCGAGCGCGCGCGCGCGATACGCTCCAGAAAGGCGCGCTCAGGGCGCGCTCTCCAGAGAGAAAGACAGAGAAAGAGAATAAAGAGAAAGAGAAACTTACAGAGAAAGAGAGAGAGAGAGCGAGAAGGAAAGAGAGCAGGGCAAGCGCGCGCGCGCACGCTCTGAAATACGCTCCAGAAAGGTGCGCTCAGGGCACACTCTGCAGTGAGAGAAAGAGAAACTTCAAGAGAAAGAGAGAGAGAGAGAGAGAGAAACAAAAAAAGAGAGAGGGAGAGAGAGAGAGAGAAGGAAAGAGAGCAGGGTGAGCGCGCGCGCTCGTGCGCGCTCTGAAATACGCTCCAGAATAGCGCACTCAGAGAGAGAGAGAGAGAGACAGAAAGAAAGAAAGAAAGACAGAAAGAAAGAAAGCAAGCAAGCAAGCAAGGAAGGGAGGAAGAAAGAAAGAAAGAAAGACAGCAGGGCGAGCGCGCGCTTGTGTGCTATGGACGGGCGCGCTCACGCTCCAGAAAGGCGCGGTCAGAGCGCGCTGTCCAAAGAGAAAGACAGAGAAAGAAACACTTAGAGAGAGAGAGAGAGAGCAGGGCGAGCGCGCGCGTGCTTCCTCTTCTTGTCCTCCTCTTGTCCTTGTTTTGGCTGCGCCCCTGAACTCTGTGGCTGGGCTCTGTGGCCCGGCTCTGTGTCCGGGTCTTGTCCTCCTCTTGTCCTTGTCTTGGCCGCGCCCCTGAACTCTGTGGCTGGTCTCTGTGGCCAGGCTTACTGGAGAGGAGTGTGGCCGAACAAATAGCGATGTCAATGCCGACAAAAATTCATTGATGAAGCAGTTTGCTCTTGGGGTGAAAGTAGGGCGTACCAAGAAATCGATTTTTGACTGATATTGGTCTAAACGAATCGTTTTGAAGCTGTTTGGGGTCTATGCTTGTATAATTCAAGCAGGGGGGCAAGGCCCCCAGCGATGAACCTTGTCCAACGAAGCTAAGTCGCTGGAGGGGAAGCGAATGGGGACAGACATCCATTCGTGCACCTGCAACGTGAACTTTTGATCAAGCTGTCCACTTTGATCGGCTTGCTTTCATGGTCCTTACACGATTCCTCCCCTAAACCCACTTTCCTGCAGCTGAGCTTGTCACCGCACCGACTGTACAGATCGCAAACCGATGTCAGAGTGTGTGGAACCCTTGGAGTCACAGGGAACCCGTTGGTTTTCCAGGCAGGCAGTTGTGAGTCGTCCCTGGACTAACGAAGACGGACTCACAACTCGTGATGCAAGAAGGGACGCCTTCTTGCGTACCTGCGTTTTTAAATTGTTGCTTGATTATTGCGGTCCCTTGGTTTGTTTCATGGTGGTTCATGTACCTGAGGTTGTTCCAGGCGGTGTTTAGGCCTTTAGGTAGGCCTCCAAACTCGTAGCGGGGGGCCTTCAACCTGGTGGCGATGGCCTCCACCTACTAGCGATGGCCTCTAACCTTAGCTGTCTTGTTGTTTCCAGTTACCAACCTCCTAGCAATGGCCCCTCAACCTGCTTTCGATGGCCTCTAACCTAAGAGCGTGGACCTCCAACTTTGGCTGTTTTGCTGTTTGGCTGTCTTGCCGTTTTATGTCGCTAACCTACTAGCGCTGGCCCCCAACCGGTTTTTGATGGCCTCTAACCTAAGAGCGATGGCCTCCCCTGTCATCTTAGGCACTTGGATACTTAGGTTGCCGTGTGGCCAACCGCAATCAAGTCAGTATGCCATTTCAATAAGTGTGTGTGTGTGTGTTTGCCTGAGGAATGAACATAGAAAGGCTCGTGATGGTCCTGAAGATCTCAAAGCTGATCAAACTAAAGTCAGGTCAACTGCTCTTCTCCGTCTTCTTCGAGCACATCCCGAAAAAGACGTGCCTTAATCAGCAACTAGATGCGTCATAAGAATTTCTCTAAGGCAGGATGTTCAAGTCCCATATAATCCTGGTAGCGTCAACCGCAATCTCTTTGACACCTTGCCGCTGGAACATGGCTGGAACATGACTGCTCTTCAAACAAACCTGAACAAAATCCTCTTCAGTACAGGAAACCATCCATCCCCATCATCCCTATGGACATTCTTATACTCTTCCACCTCTCCACACAACATACTTCCGACCTCTCCCTTCTGCCCAGCCGCGGTTGTCGTCTTCGGCCGGCGCCGCGAGCGCACGTGCACCAACACATCCTCGTCCGAGTCGTCAGCATCGCTCTGCGAATGCGGGTCCACTGGCACTTCCAGGAAGGTCCGGCGCACCACCACGCGATGCCCGGTCCGAGTCCTTCCGATTCGGGTGGGGGGTGAAAAGCTGAACAGCAAAAGGGGTGAGTGCTGGACAGAAAGTTGAGGACTTCAATGTGCTGCTGGGGAGGAGGTTGTCAAAGGGAGCACCTTTCGGCGGTGAAATCCGAATTCCATGGCTCATTCTAGCTCTCAAAATGTCACCTCTCACTGCGTTGTTCACCACTTTGTTCACCACACGATTTCATCGCGAAATTCGGCCTCTCCTTGCGGGCGCGAAGCTGGGCGCCTCGGGACACATCCTCGGGCTGGCGGTTCGCGAGCGGTGAAGCGGCTTCACCAGGTGAAACAATCCGTGGAAGAACAACGATCACGGAAGGACTCGCGTTTTTTCGGAGATCTGGTGAATCTCACGATTCAACGCTTATTTTCAGAGTCACGCCATTATAAACATATTGCAAGCTCGAGTGTGGTGCTGGTGTTTCCGGTCAATAGTTTTTTACCAGCTGGGTGATCCTTCGTTGTGGAATTGCATCGCAACATCACACGAGGACATAAGAAACACACGAACAGAACGAGAAGCTCGATTGCCTGGTGATTATCAGAGTCTATCAGACCTACCCGAAGGCATGGATCCCACCCTCAACGATCTCCCAGGTAGAGAGGTTGGTGCCATTATTCGCTGTTCTCTGGAAACCCGTGTATGTGGTTTAAATAATCCTCTTTTTGAAGATCTGTTCATGATTTTACACAACATCCCAGAACCCTCCCCAGGTCAAATGACAATCCCCCAAATCCGCCCGGACCAATGGCCACATCCAATTCGAATCGCCCCCTTAAAAAGAGAAACATGGAACAATCCAAGATCTCATCAAATAGTTCTCTGAGCAACAATTTGATAGAACAAGGATATCATATACCAATTTATACTAGCATCCTCACTGCCAGGTCTCCGAAATAGGAGGTTGGGAAGGGCCTGACACCAGGTCTCAATTGGTGACCCTATAGAGTCGGTACATATACACATACCAGCAGCCCTCAAACCCATAGAACAAAAATATATATATATATATAATATATTTGTATATAGTTTTCACATACAAAAACCATGTTTGCGCAAACCCCGGTATACAGTAGTTAGAACATGTTTTTTCGGCTCAGCGTCTGGTTGCGGAGGAAGCGGGGTTCCACGTCTTCATGGAGGCTGGGAGCTGTCGATCCGCCATTGGCCCGTCGATAGGCGGTCTTTTGCAGCAGGAAACATCCAATGAAACCTCAAAGTGCAGACAGGATGCATCCGTCGCATGATGGGTGAGAAGCTTTCTTAGACACGGAACTGGCTTTCTCAGAAAGATGTCCTCTTTTTGCTTTTGTGGTTGCCCGCTCCTGCTTAATCAAGTAGGCACCTACTTAGTTAAGTAGGGGCTATGAGTTGGCTACTACGAGAAGTTCGATCCTAGCTAGGACGCAGGACAGCTCACACTTCTTGGGGGGGGCTTCCTTGAAGAAGCGTCGCACGAATGATTTGGTTCCGAGATTTTAGGGAGCCTTAACTTGGCTGGCTGGTGTCTACGTGATATTCTTTTCCTCGGAAGTTTTTCCCCACCTGTCAGGTGAGGGCTGTTAAGCTTTTACAGATAGTCTTCTCCTCCTCCTTCTCCTCAACCTCCTCCTTATCCTCCTCCGGCGCTCCGGACCTCAACCGCACTTGCCAGATCGCAGTGGGCACTACCGGACCTCAACCGCACTTGCCAGATCGCAGTGGGTACTACCGGACCTCAACCGCAAGTGCCAGACTACCGGACCTCAACCGCAAGTGCCAGATCGCAGTGGGCACTACCGGACCTCAACCGCAAGTGCCAGATCGCAGTGGGCACTACCGGACCTCAACTGCAAGTGCCAGATCGCAGTGGGCACTACCGGACCTCAACACAATACCAAATGCAGTTTGCTTAAACTTTAGACAAGACCTGCGTGAGTCACTGTGTTTGACTGTTCGTTCCCCACCATGACATGAAAACAAAGGATTGAAATGTCATGGTGGGGATCAGTCGAAGTAAAGTAATTTGGCATGATTGCGCCCATTCCCGATGAAGCGTTACAATGGCTTCAGAGTAGATGGCACAAACACAAAAATGTCTTTTATATGGAGGTCCGTATACACCACCATTTGGGGATTGTGCCATCGACTCTGAAACTTCTGTAAATTCGTATGCTTTGGCTCATGATTCAGTGATGCGATTCGGTTTTGGCAGGCCAGGCCAGACGCTGGAGTGCCTCCCCAACTTTCATGGTGTCCGCCCTGCTGTCACGATACCACGGACCACGGCATTTCAAGGAGATCCCGCTGACACGGACCGCTGCCCCGGCTTAAAGTCCAAGGATCCCGAAACGAAAAAGTGTTCAAGCCATCAGAGACATGTCCTCTCAGTTGACAGTGTCAACACCACCAAAAACAAAGAATATATGATATACATATACATAAATCATTTAAATATATACATATATATACAGCAGTATATATTAAACACACACACACACTACAGTACTTCATCTCAGCTCTTTTGAACCCCACCCCGCCAGTCACCCTTCTTGTCCGCTCCCACTTCAGCAGCCTTCTCTGTCAGCTGAGCGTCGCTCACGAAGGCGAGCGTAGGCACTTCGCGTCACTGCGCATTGGTAGGGCACCAAGGGACGGCCATCCATGACTTCGAAGACCTGGCGGGTTGGTCGGACCGGCCAGGCACCGCGCACAAGCACATCGGCATTGGTAGGGCGCCTGAAAAAAAGGGTTCGGATGGATTTGGATGGACTTGGTGGGTTTTTCCCCGTGTTGCCTCCAAGGGTTCTGCTGAACCAGGTGTGTAGTTATTATCTTATTCAATCTTATGGCTTGTGCAGTCCCTGTGCATCAAGTTTCATCAAGATCATTCGTCTGGGTAGGGCTTGAGCTAGCATGTCTTACATCCAGGGAATCTCATAGCCCGAGAAGAGAGGATCTCTTCGACGCGACGGCCACGGTTGGCCTCCGACGGTCTCGACACGTCTCGGTGATCTGGGCGAGGCGGCCGTGTTTTCACGTGGGGAGGAACGTGCGCAAGAGAGAAGGTGAACGTGGGTCAGCCTTTTTTCCAGGTCAACTTCTCTTGCCTCGCATCAGAATTGGTGCTGCAGAGCAGATAGGCGCAGGGTTGCATTTTCGAGGTCGGCTTGGTGGCATTCCTGACATGGTTTCAGCCAGACTCTCAGCAAGGCGGTCATGGGATGACTCGACAAAGCAGAATTGAACGGAATTGAGGCGTGGAAGTAGTGGCGTATCACTTTTGGTCAAGGACAAAGCCATGCGGAAGTAGTGGCTTCAAATCACTAGCAGGGTACGGATGCGCTTATTCACCCTTTTTCGCAGTGCACAGCTGCACAACGTGGCAACTGTCTTGCTCTTGCTGCCTCAAAGGCCACTGAGAAGGGACTCGCAAGCGGAAAAAGACAGAGATCTCAGCCAGGCTTGCTGTCTCTGTCAAGTGGAATCGCCGCCAAGTACTTTTAGGGGCATTTCTGGCTTTCTGGGGCACTGAAACTGGTGACATGCAGGTGTTACCCGGTTGATGCATGGAACCGCGAGTCTTTCGCACCAACCTCGACGAGAACCGCCACAAAAACACTGCCCCTCTTTGCCACACGTAAAAACACCTCCCACCTCTTCAACGCCGATTTCCACTGGAGGGTTCACAATGATGTTCTTCGGATTCGCACGGAGAAAATCATTGTGCATCAAATAGCGTTCCAGCTCATTCCAGGTCATTGTACTGCTGTCATTGTACTGCTGGTGTCGTCCTGGTGTCGCCCTTCCTGGTCTCCGGTGTTCACGCGTCCGAGCCTCGATGGATTCGCCCAAGTTCGCCAAAAAGATGCGCAGATATTGCGCCAAGCGGAACTTCTCGCTCCCCACCTGCAAGTGCGACTTCAGGGCACTGACGTATAGTGACGTGCGCCTCTTTCAGGGGCGTGAGGCGTTAGTAGGTGGGTCCCAAAAGAAGACCTGAGGACGGAAACGCCACCGTCTACGCTGCACCGTGTTTTTGTTCTTGAAAGACTGTTCTACATACCATCTCCACCGAAACCCACCCATGTTGCTTTCTGTGACCAGGTGGACCGGCCAAACCCGCATATTTCAAGGGTGATTCGGAGCGATCGATTTCATATCGAGCCCAGTGTGGGGACTCAACGGAACTGTTCAACTGCTCCATCCACACCTCGGGGGTCCGAGCGTTCGATGCCCGGCTTGGGCCGGGCTTGGGTCATCTGGGCCAGACGTCGTGCCGGGTCGCGCCTTCACTCCGAGAGAAGATGGAAAAAGGTCGTCTCTCTCATGTCTGGTTCTGGTGTTTCTCTTTGAAAACCAGTCAAGAACCTGTCAAAAGTCATCACCAGAAAGAACCTATCAATGTGTCAGTTTCTCCTGCCGACTCAGTTCCACTGAAACACCCGCCACTCGTGTTCTGTGAGGTGTCTTTTCGAGTTCCATGTTGGACTGCGCTGGAGCAGGCTGGAGCTGGGGCGTTCCGACGTTCCAGCGCTTACCGATGTTCTCATTCACTGGAGCCCACGTGGAGTTCTGAATAGTTCTGAACTCCAAAAGTGGAATTGCATTCGATGCAGATCTTCGATACGATCCGGATGGCGTACCTTTTGCTCTGGGTCGACCCAGCTCTGGGTACGCCACGACCACGCGACGACTCGTCCCGTCCTCGTCCGGGCTGAAGCGCCGCCAGCGGTGCAGTCCCATGGGCACTCCAGCGGCGATGCAAACGGTGGGCGCCATCTGGTCGTGAACAACGGGGAAGAGAGGCAAGCCGCGCTTGCCTGGGAGACTCAAAAATTGGGAGACTGGGCAAATCCCAGAAGAAAGGATTCTTTTACTGCTGTGGGATTGAGGAGTGTTCTCTTTTTCAGACTTCAGTATCCTCATTGGTTCAGCATTGAAAGGGCTATCTAGGGGTGTCTTTCACATTGCTGGGATGTCCAGGCAAATCTCACACTATATATTCCTATCTGGCCTTTGGGATACAACCCAGCAACAAGCGCTAGCTGAGACCATCATCTCACAGATCCAGCTGAACTGTTTGCTTCTCCTCTTGAAGGAAGAACTGTCAGTCCGAGATTGTTCCACAAAAGAACCACACCACCCCTTCACAGTGTCAAAGTCCTTGTCTTGAGCTAGCTTTTGCTCTGGAGGGAGCTAAGGAGCCAGGGGTATCCATATTGCCCATTAAACAGAAACAGGGAGCCAAGGAGCTATAACTGGGATGATATGATGACATGATGATTCTTTTGGAGGCCTCCCTTCTCCCCACTCGCAACCTCTCCCCAACCACAAAAAAATAGAACTTGTGGGTCGCTGCCCGACAGCGATTCCGCATGGAACTCCGACAAGCATCAGCTCTGAATCGTGAGGACCAAGTATAGTTGCTCGTCAATGGCCCTCAACTCCTTCAAGCCCTTGGTGGCCAAAAGTCTTCATCGGCGCATCCGCCCGTTTCGCTGAAAGGAAGAGCTGAAACTGGAAGAAACAAGAACATTCAGGGCCGTTGAAAGGAAAAACGAAAGAATTGACCCTGGGACCTTGCTCTCCTTCGGATGGACCAGATTTTGGCCACCTGACCGAATCAACACAGTGTCCACCCCCCCCTTTTAACGCGCCACACCGCCGGTGGCACCACCTCAGAAGCCCAGAGTCGGGTCCATTGAGAATCAACTGCGCGGCGCGCTGCGCAGACTCCAGCAGCAGCTGGAAGTGGATTTGGCTCCAGGACCAGAAGTTCTCATCCTCGCAGCTCAGGCTGTGAAAGGCCGTGGAAGGGGTCAGGGGGTCAAAAAGGGTGTATATATATATATATATACCCACCCGTGATGTGGTGTAACCCATTAAAAGCATGCCTGGAGTGTGGATAGCTCAACTTCTGGCAGATCGTTGGCTAAAATGTGGCATCTCCTGGTGGCAAAAATCCGTGCAAATGTGTTTCTTCTGAGAATTCAATGACTCTGTTTCTTAGGTTTCCCAGGCTATCACCGTTCTGAAGCGAGCTTCAAGCTCGATTCGAACGTCCGCCGGCGGATCCGCGATGAGCTGATGCCACCGATGCCGTGGCAATCCATCACATCATCGTCTATATATAAATGTCAAGCCGTGAATGCCATTGAATGCCATTCTTTTTGCCCGACTCTGGTCAGGAATTGAGAGGGTTTGTGCCCAACTCTGGTAAGGAATTGAGAGGGTTTGTCAGGAGGGAGTTCAATGATGGTGAAAATCATGGGCCTTTCTTTGCAACTTGTAGGGAAATCATGGAAGCTATGATATACTGATATACTGTGTGTATGCATCTACTTTTCGAAGATTCCCTCTCCACATTTTGCTTGACCGTACATCTGCCATTGACCGTTGTGAACTCGCACATCTACCGCTGTGGAACGGAGAGGACTCCGGGAGGACTCCGCACAGAACCAAGTGTCTGGAACGTGGAAGACTTTCACGAGGTGCACATTGCGATCGTCTCCTTGTGTGCAGCACCTCATTTGAAGAAGAAGGTCCCCTGGTTGGAACGACTGAGAAGTGGCAATGGATGTCTTCATCTACTCAACACTGGTCTTTGGTCTTGGGTGGTCAAGTCGTCTTTGATCCACACGCACCAGCAAAGCTGCGAGCTACCTCAGATCTAGTTGCTCAGTTGCTACCACAAATCAGCAGGCAAGAGCCCACAACGCAACTGGTGGCCAATCTCAAAGTACACAAAGGATGAGAAAGTTTCACCTGGTATAAAATATCCCTCTGTTTGTGGGGAGTATGACTATCGTGGCTATCAGGTGTGGAACCGTGAGTCCTTCTTGTTTTGCATCAAGGTGTACAAGCTACAGGTTTGCGCCCGCACGGAAGGTCGCCGGTTCCAGGTGGTCCCGGCCAACGCCATGCGACGATCCCTTCTGCAAGAATTCGTCCCGAATCTCCGACTGAATTCGTTTGTGTTTACTCTCCCTTTCACGACCGAAGGGATGGTGGCAAAGGTCTGTGTGTGTTGTCTTTTTTCGGAGTCATTGAGACATAGCGATCATGTCAGCTCCAAATAGCGACATCAAATATACCTCAAAAAGACTTGATCTGAGACCTACCAGACTTACCAGAACCAGCTGTCTGTGGAGACTGAGCTCGCCAGGGCACATCAAAATCCCTTCCTCCGGATCATCTCCCTCGTTGTAAACCTCAGCACCGGGTCGTCGGTGGACCAAACAGTTTGAGGAGGATAGATACCAGATAATAGAAGGACAGTGTCCAACGGGCTCCGACAAATCACATACTTTGGGGAACCTCAGGCCCGACACAAACAAACAATCACAAAGCAACACCACGCACCGACGCAATACAACACAACACAATACACTACAATACAATACAATACGGTCGGGTCAGGACCTCTTTCATTCCCGGTGGACGCAGAACTGTGGGAAGGTCCAACGATTGGATGTGTCAACAACACAAGGAGACGTTGGAGAAGTGCAGTGATCCCCCCGTTTGTCGGAGCACCCCAACTTCAAGGTAAACCAAAACCAAACCCTGCGAGAGGAAAAAAGGGACCAAGAGATTTGGTGGATTTCTGAGAACAAACCGACCGGTCGCAGTTATTGACATTTGACGAACAACTCCATTGAAACAGCCTACACCCCACGTGTGGACGAAACACCGCATAGCCAGCGTCGCCAGGAAAAGGAAAGTCACGGCGAAAGCGCTGGTGCGTGAGCAACGGTCTTCCGCCGCCAAACAACAAGCCGGTGTCAAAAAGGACCTCGGGAAGCGAAGTTTAGCTGCAGAGAACTTTTTGGACCAAACCCAACCAAACTCAAACAGTTACAAAAATTTGTGCGCTTAAACGCTTTGAGAAACATATGCTGAAATGGTGTGGTTAGACGAAGGTATTGTGTCTTTTTGGGTGTGGCATGCTTGGCCCTGGGGTTTCCATCCGAAGAAGTGGATACTTTTTCGGTCTTGGCTGCGACACGGAACAATTAGAAGCCTGTTCGGGTTTGACTATCCCAAACCATCCTCGAACCCTACAATCCAAAATGCAAATACCTTCTTACTTTTGGAACCACACTGTCCAGGTCGTCGCCCACTGAGCGTGCGCGGGCGGGCAAGTGATCGGGTGAGTGGATGGAGTGGAGTGGAAGGAGTGGGAGTGGGAGTTGGAGTGGAGTGGAGCGGAGCGGAGTGGAGTGGGGTGGAGTGGAGTGAGGTGGAGCGGAGCGGAGAGCGGAGTGATTCTGTTCTGCACGAAAGACTGTCTCAGGAAACCCCTTCATCGGCGTGAAGAACTCGGATTCCTTCTTCTACTTGCGCCACCATGTGTTGCACTGCAGCATTCTGTGGTCTGCGGAGCTCAGGCGCCATTCTGCGGGTTGGAAGCTTAAATCTCAGAGGCTCGGGTTTTTTCTCTAACTTCTGTAGGATAGCGTCCATTGCTCATCTGGGTCGGCTGCAGATCGGCAATGCAAGGGCCTGTCAGCATCCCAAAACTCACCAACACCGACACCATCATCTGGCTCTGCCGCTGATGGTGTGAGGGAGAAGTGCTCTGGCAAAGCACTCCTTTGCAAGTGGAGACATGAGTCCTGCTGGCACGTGCGCCAATGCTTCCTCTGCTGTCTGCAGAGTTTCGCGGTGATCTGATAGCTCATTCACTCGATCCAGGCCATCATGATTGCTGCTTGTTTTCCAGCATACTAACACGCAGCCATCCAGGGAGACCTTCATGGTGGCATCGCTTGCTGCATGGATGCTACTGCGTTGCCTGCAGCATCCTTTGTGGACTCCAAAGTCTTCAGTCGAGCATCTTGTGACGTGGCAAGGTCTCAGAGTCTTTCCATCAACACGCGCTCTCCCTGATTGCTTTCTGCATTGGCGCTCGATCGCTGAGTCCCTGTGCGCTCGTGGCCACACTTTGTAAAGCACGTGCAAGAATCTTAGTTCGACCATTCGGCTCTGAAGCTATCTCACGAACAGCTTCGGACATCTCCACCCCATCATCCACAACCATCGCCTGAGAGCATGCACCATCCCAGTTGACTATCTGTTGTAGCACCTCTGCCGCAAGCGTGAGCTCTTACATTCCACTCTTCTCAGTTGCACAGGGATGTGGCAAGCTTGAGCCAGCAGGGCCTGTGTTTGGGATCAAAACCTGTGACTGCATAACTTCCGGTGAGTCAAGAACTGGAGAAAAGTGAGTTGGAGCAGGTGAATGGGAAAGATGAATTCTCAAGGCCGCATGTGGATAATCATGTGGTTGTTCCAGCGGCGTTCTCGATTTGTGCGTTTCTTTCGTGTCTCTCCAAAACTCTGCTCTTCGTCACACTTCTCTGCTCCCTTCCCACTGCAAAAATCTCAACTGCTCAAAACAAACTGCTTCTTTCAAAACTGATTGCGTTCTCTTCACTTGTCGACTAGTGCGGATGCTTCTGCAAGTGGTGCACTTCTCGAATTTGCGTCTGGCACAAACGAAGTGACATGAAAGCAACTGGTGCCGCCTTCTTTCACGAGTCTTGAGCCAAATCCCACATCGTACCATGCTTGGGCTGAACCTGTCGCCAAAGGTCAAGGTCTGAACATGTCTGAAGCTGGCAGACAATCACAACAGACTGGACTGGAGTGGATGGTGGACTGGGGCTCCCTCCATGTGCGCGCCTGTCTCAAGCGGATCTAAGAAGGTCCTGCCACATAGCCACCAAAGACTCTCGGCAGAACAGCACGAACACCACAGTCGCCATCAATCAGCCCTTTCTTTCAGTCAGTGTGGAGTGCAAGCCAAATGGTTCTCTCCCCTTTGGCTCAAGCAATTACTGGAGTAGCTTCGTCCTGCACAAAGATGTGCTTCGAACAGCCAAACTGCTTTTCCCCCAGTTGAAATCGGCATGAACACGACTTGGTCAGCAAGCCAGATTTTGAGTTGCTCTGCGGCCAACAGCTTGAAAGCTTTTTGGTAGCAGGCTTCTTGTGCGCGACTGCACACCTCCGACTGCGACTGTTTTGCAGTTCCCGTGGCAGCTGCAGTAGCATTGGCTATGACAGCTAAAGCGCTCAAATAGTGAGGCCACCTTTTCTTCCCTTTGCAAGCACTTCTTCTCGCGCTCACTGGTCCGTTCCAGACAGATTGCTTTTTTTGGCTTTCATGGTCCTTTGTGGCAACTCGGTTTCCGACAATCCCGGCCCTCGCCAAGCAAGCTCTTGCACACAGACAGACATGACATGCCAAAATCTCCGCGCACCGGCTTTCCATATGCGTTCCATCAAGTCTTGCGCACACTGGCGCTCTTAAGGAAAATCATTAAGGAAAATCAAAAATGCACTTTCAAGCAGCAGAGCTGAAGGATGTGGAAATGCGTTATTCCTGATCACGAGCGCTGAAAAGTGTACAACTACGTGCAACTCAATGGGTCAAAAATGAAAAAAACAACACCTTCGTAGAACCACACCATCTCGGCGCTTTTTCTGGCGCTTCGTTGTACCAGGCGACACTGCTGTGGATCCCCCAAGATGCCGTGCGTTGGAGCAAGACCTCGCCAGGGGCCACCAGTGTGAGGCGTTCGCGTGGCCCATGTTGCACCTCCGGTCTCACCTGGATGGGATGGGGATGCGATTCTTAGGTGAAGAGGATGGATCTAGCTCACAGACGTCCCGAAGCTTGTTGTGAAATTCCTGCAAATTGAAAAAGAAGATAGTTCGGATAGGCTGCACCATTGGCGATTCTGTTCTGATGTTCACTCGCCTGGTCAAGGGTTTCTGGTGGTGGCACAAGGATCATAATTTCGGCTTCTGCATGCAGTTAAGGCGCTAGATGGTAGCTCTTCTTCGCAGGCGGATCGAAGACCGGAATGTCAACTGGCACCAAGCAGCAACAATGGAAAGACAGTCCACTGAGTCCACTCATGCTCATGGGCTCATGCGCTTTTTTGAGTGACTCATGGAAACGAACCAAACTGGTACAGTAAGCGTGCACTCCGATCATCCGCTAGCCTCGATCCATGTAATCATCGGTGTCAAATGAAAAAGGGCTATCCAATGATGTTGGACCATCTTGGACCAGCGCACCAAACGACCACTTCGCCCTTTCCCCCTTCAGCCGACCGGGGGCTTCGACTCGGTACCGAAACGACCGGGTGTTGGGAGCCAAGCGGCTCAGCATCAGCTTCACCAAGTGCCCCCCCCCAGGGGCAAAGCATATGTGAGCAGCTGCCAGAAAGCATATCCTGTTCATGGGTCCAGCCTGCCGCACAACGCTGGTCGGCTGAGATTTGTCGTGCTTTGGTTGGTTCCAACCGATGCGGTGGGTACGCAGGTCACACAGTGGTGTCACTTCGGGAGAACGAGGTGAGAACGAGTGAGTCGGGCGCTCCTTTGTGAAAACGAATCGATTGTCATGCTGCCAAAAAGGTACACTAGATACTCATTGTACTCATGCTCTGCAACATGAAAACCGTGACTTTTGTCATGAGCGTCAGGTGAATCTGAATCTTTGGACCCTGGGACCCTTGCGCACAACGCACGCCCCCGACGACTGCCGCAGATGGATCATTCAAAGCGAAATCGGTGCCCAACAGTGGCAGCGGACCCAGGAAATCCCACAGCGATCGCTGCAGCCAGGGTCGACCGTGCGGTCTGGTGGAAAGGAGTGGTCTCAAATGGGGTCTTTGGTTCCCTGGACTCCTTAGGTCCTAGACCTAGACCACCATGCTCGTGACTTGTCTCAAATGGTCGTCCATTGGTTTAAAAAAAAATATGCTCCAACTTTCGCCTGCATCCAAGAGGAGGTTCGGGACCAGAGCGAACCACCTCGACATCGGTAGCACCAGCGGAGAGCGCACCAAGCCAAAGGAGCGTCATGGCCATTGAACCAGGGGAGATGTCAGCTTGGTGGTCGCAAACTGAGCTAAATTGTGCCTCTTGCCTTTGGGAATACAGGCCCAGCCGGCCACACCCCATCATATGTAAACTCAACAACCTGATGATGGACAAACACTGGCACAGAAAGTCTGCGACGGACCATATCATTGAATCGTGGGTCTCCATGTCCAACTTCTGGACCTACTTGATCCCTGGCTCTTCCAACTACCAGGACGACTTGTCTTTTCAGGTGAACCGCATGGTTCCTCCGCCCACCACTGCTCCCCCCCCGTCTTCATCCCAAGGACTCGTCGACGCTTCTTGGGCGCAGCAACTCAGACATGGCAACCGGCGCCACACCGAAGCGCGGTAGGGCTGACCAGACCCTTTCGCAGCAAAACTGCTCGGACGGAAGGGGCGGAGCCAGTTACACGCTCGGACGCTCGGCGCGAGCCGCTGCTGGGGTACACTGCAGAACCCAAGAGTTGTGGCGCCCTGGGTCCTCCAGTGTCTCATAAGCTCAATATGTCAACAAGTGATTAAATAGCCTCCAAAAGCAAAGATAGAAACTCATCTTCCCAACCCTGTCTGGCAGGCCATTTATGGATTTATGGTGTGTGTGTGTGTGTGGATCGAGGTTTTCTGCCCAGTTCCAACCATTTCCCAAAGTTCTTGCAGTCATTGACTAGTTGGGCAGCTCCCTCAAAAAGACCACCGCCTCCTCCCGGTACAGTCGGCGCTTTTGGGTTTTTGAGCGGAAAGGCATTCCGAAGAGTCTGATGTGCTTCACAATTCCCAAAATTGAAACTAGTTCGATCATTTCAAATCATAGGAGTGATTCTGTGGATTAATTTGAAAGGAGAAGCGGCCTACAACTACCTGAGGCAGTCAGGCAGTGCTTTGTTTCACTTGGCTCCATGTTCCACATCACAGCCCTCCCACGCTCGGTTCCCCCGCCCCCTTCAAATGGCCGCCTCCCTCCCGCAGCGTGGCCAGGCCATCCCGCGCAGCGCTCAAGGCCTCTTCGGGCCTCGGAGCGTCACGCGACGGTGCCCACCAGGAGAGTCGTGGAGGACCATTCCTTGCGACGATGGACCGGACCGTTGCTTGGTTGAATGTTGTGGGCTAGTTCGTTGGACCGGTTGGGTGATCTGTATTATGTTAGACTAGAATATATTATATTATATTAGACTATATTTACAGTAAATGGCTGCGGGGTCAAAACCGCGGAACCTTCCTTGGTTGACCCCTGAACATGAACAAATTCCTCTATACGGGATGTGAACCTTCCATGGTTCGGTGGGTACTGCGCCCCTTGGTCTATGATCCGGAACAGAAGGGGTTTGTACGGGAACCTTGGAAACTACTCTACGCATCCCAACCGACCTACGCGAGATGGTGAAAACAAAACAACAAAAATCACCGGGTTAATCCACACTGACTCAACTGAGACTCAAGTGCTAGGTGAATGGTGAATTCTGGGTACATATCTACAATTTCACCCCGTTTTTTGCGAAAGCGTTGATTCAAGATGTTGCATTGCGAAAATTGTATTGCGGGTAAGTGTTGCACGGCCCACTTAGGTGCCATTGGTCGGATACTAGCTGGGCGGCGGTCCTTGTGGTATGGTGGGTTACTATCACTATCGCTAATGTACTGGAGCAAAGCTTTGGCAAGTTCTTTTGCACAGGGAAGGATCCGGCCTGATGCAATTCCAGCGTTGTGTTGGTGAGAACCCAGCTGCAGTATTCGGATATGCTGGGATTGCCTGCATCCTTATTGATCGCTGCGAGGGTGGCAAGAGTGCAGCAGGTTGTCGGGGCCGAACTGTTCCTCAACTGTTCCTTTGCCGTGTGGGGGGGCCGAACTGGGAGTTTCACCTGCATACAAGTGTTGAAATGCCATGGCTAACTCAGTCCAAGTCAAACCTGGATCGTCTTGTAGCAAGGGTCTGGTATCAGGAACCTTTTCAAATGTGCCCAAACTTTAGAACACAAGGTCCTTCCCCAACACACATGCATTAAAATTAATGAATGCGGTTCCTGGAGGTCAAGTAGTTGACACTCTACTGGCGGCCACTTTGCGAGTTCGTCAATTGTTTGCTAGAAAATTGCCAAAGATTGTTGCGCTTCTGCTCCGGTTGGTTGTGTTTTATCATTTTTAATTTTGGACGTTTCGCGGTTAAGAGCTACAATATTGCCACACTATAGCAATTTCTTCAAACTCCTGCCGGTGATGTTTGAGGCATTGAGCCAAGTCATCTTCATATTCGGGAATGTCCGTTTCTCTTGCCTTTAATGCTGCTTCATCAGCAAAGTGATTACCAAGGACGCGGCAAAGGTCAGTTGAAGTATTTGCTTCGTCGAAAGACCTGTGGGACTTGGCTTGACCTTGTGAATATAAAGGACATTCCTTTTCCATGCCGTTTGAAGGTAGGGCGGAGCAAATAAGTCATAGTTGGCAACCTGATGCGGGGCGTCTTCATAAAGCCCAGCATCAATCCAAGAGGCAGCATCATGGGCATATTGGGAATCGGTGTAAATATGGATTTCTTTATGGTGCATACAAGGGTAGATTTTCTGCAACCCATACTACTGCAGCCAGTTCACTCCTATCCACTGTTTGGTTTCCGCGAGTATGACTCGTTTCCAAACTGGAATAAGTTTGGGTCTGCCACGACCACATTTGTTTTGGGGCATGCAACTACACTCCACGCTGCCTTCTTAGCAATGTGGTGCGTCAGTCCAGAGCGATGTTCCGTCAGTGTAGACATTATAAAAAGTTTCTTGGAAAGTGTACTGACACTGCAGAACAACCGTTCCACGCAGTAACCCACTAAGTTGAATGAGTGGATCGTGTTCGTGGTGCGTGGGAAGGGCAAACCAACGTAGGTAGCGCTTTGCCTGCATAATCTGTGTGGTTACGTTGATCCGGGATGTGCTGGAAAGTGGTACAGTGAAGGTGTCGGTGTTGTCTTGTGTCGACCTGGTCGCAGAATTCACACTTTGCTTCAATGCTTGTAGACCATGTAGACTTAAGGTCATTTACGGTCATTTGTTTGGTAACCTGCTGTTATGTCTCGTAACAACCAAATGCGGTCTTTCACTGGCAAGTTCCATAATTTGTGGTTGTCCAGGAATTGAAGGGTGTGTGAGGGACCCCCTGTCCAATGCCACGATCCAGTCACAATCCATACAAAGTGCACAGCGTATTTCCTTGACGGATGCTTCTGGGATCGGCAGGTAGGGGCCACGGAGCCCAAGACATAACTATCAGTGTCCTTTGCCACCCGACTCGTTCAAGGTTATTATGCAAGCGCTCCAGCCGGACCATAAGGCCGTCCTGCGTGGTCTTTAACATCTTGTAAGAACATATCCATGATGAGAAATAGGGGGTAGCTAGTGGAAGCACTCTCAGTGCGGGCCAATTGTTCACAACTGCAGGTGGATTGAATTCAGCGTGTACCGCAATCTCACAGGCTGGCAGAAATCCAACTATGACATCCTTCGACATGACGATGGGATATGGCTTTCTATCTCTAGCATACAAAGTGAGGGCCCAGAGCGTCCTTCTAATGTTTGTTGCACCTTGGACCCCGGGAAGCCATCCATCAGATAGGCAAGAGGCCAAAAGATTGAAGCCCGTCGTTGCGCTGCACCTCCAAAGCCGAAACCTTCATGTAAACCAACGTAGGCTTGTGGCAAAGCACTACCAACTTGATTCATGAAAGCAGTCTGAGCAAAAGTACTGCCTGCTCAACAGAAGCAGGTCATACCCAGATGGCAAATTCAAGAAGCAGGTCTCACGGCCAGCCAAAGTGAACTTCTGGGTCCCGATTCGAGCGGGTGGAACAACGTAAGCCATAGTCGAGAACTTCAACTGTTTGTCCATCAGAGTCAGCTCCGGATCCCCAATACTCGCAGACGCACGCCTTGACTGCACTTATGACGGCATTGAGATTGCGTGGTCGAACGCGTTCCTGGCATACAGCTTGGCGATCAAATAGTTCACGTTCGAAAAAAAAAACGATTTCCAACGGGCAATGGTGGTCAGGGCTAGGTTTTCAATTCAATACTTGACTGCTGTCGTCGCTGATTTGCTGCGTCGTTGCCGCACCTGATCTGTCCGTCCTTTCCACTTCCAAAGTGTGCTGCAGTATCTATTGTAAGTTCGCACATGTTTGGGCACTCTGCCACTGGCTATGGGCTATGGGCTTGGCGGTGCAACCCTTTCAGGCTTCTGGCTGTGGCCTTGCTAACCCTTTTTGCTTGGTTTCGAAGCTGTCGTCTTGTGCCTCCGGCCGCATTTGCGCACACAACATGGGCTCAGGGCTTGGCGGCTGGCATTGCTGCGTTGCTTTCCCAAGCTGTCCACTTCTTCTCTCACTGTTGCTTTATACGGCTCAGATCATTACTGTTTCTTCCGCGTAGCATCGCTTGGCTAAGGAGAATGATTTGGATTTGCTCTCGATGCATGGATAGAATAGAGGGCCACCACGCATCATCTTGCTTCTCCGGAGGGAAATGCACAAAGGCTGCCCCTGCCGGCGAACCAAGCGACAGTGACGCAGGCTAGAAGTGTCTTTTTGCCGCCTCTTGAGCCTTCAACAAAAGCACGATAGAAGGCAGCCAACCATGTGTCCAGGAGCGTGCGGAAGCGGCTCGAGAGCTCACAAGAACACCTGTCCACATAAACTTTCTGTCAGAAGGGATGACAACTACTTCTGTGTTCAGCTTGAATTTATTGCGAAAACGCGTTGCGGATTCAGAGCTGCCTGCAGGGTGCATCAGGTCAATACGGACTGTGTCAGCTTCGAAGGACCTTGAGAATGTTCGACGTTCGAGATTCTAGATAAATTTATGTGTTTGTAGTTTGATAGGGTTTGTGCCTTCTCCTGCATGTCTTCATGTCCGCCCGGGCAGAAACGCAGAGGAAGCTACGGAGAGGAGGAGGAGCGGCGATTTTCTGTAAGTGCGACCACGGGTATTGCAGGGGCCATGGATGGCGGGGCCAGCGCACGACCTCTCCAGGCGTCAGTGCTGTGCGCAAGACCTGCGGCAAGGCTAGTATGTTCATGCTTTGAATGTTGCGGAGCAACGGCAGATGCCGTCAATGCAAAATATGTACAAATATGTACAAATTCTTTTACGACGAGAACACCGACGCATAGCTACCCGTCCGACGAAACCCAGTAACCCAGTCTGGCACGAGAACTCGCAGCCCACCTTCCGCTGGGAGGGGGCCTCCTCTGGACATCACCAACACGTCTCGCGTGCATTTTCTCCGCACAAGCACAGTCACAGTCTCCATCTCCGCTCAGCGTGACTTGGAGCTCTCACCACTGTCTCGCCTTCTTGGCCCAAAGCGGCCCAATGAGGTCGCGTAATGACCTTCGTCTTCGTGTCTTTAAGCGTAGCTTTTCCGACCCACTCCGTCCAGCTGTATGAAGCCCTGTTCAGAAAGAAAATGCTCCTGTCGACGGTTGATCAAGCTCT